TCACTTTCTCCCCAGTGCCGTGTCTGCTGAAGGGAGTGAGTAAGCTTTTTGCCGAGAATTCCACTGCATATGAGTCGAAATTTGTTTTTCCAACTGCACTTGCTGCTGTGTTTACGTGAAACCTCATCTGCAGACACTCGAAGTGACTCTCAGACGCCTGACGACTGCCGACTCCCCGTCAATGTTTGTTTAGACGACTGGGCGAAAAAATTAAGTGTTAAATCAATAAAAAATCGTTTACATGTTGTTTGCAGCCACTGGCGTCGGGATTTTATATATAAATAAATAAATGTGCGACTGTGGATTGTTTATGATACGACAGGAGGAGAGTTTCTTAATAAGTAATGTAATATGAAGGTTTGAGGTTTGAGGTTTGGCAGCCAGAATTTGTACTGCAAAATCAACGAAATACAGCTTCAATTGTACCCTGAAACATGAAGAAAAACCTCTCAAAACCTTACACCAAAATGAAAGCAATTCCTTGCCTTAGTTAACAACCATTAAAACCATCGCTCTACCATCTTGTTTATTGTTCCCAATTACCAGTGAAAGTGATTCACGAGTGTGGGGGCCCTCTGTGATTTTGATTAGATGCCAATTTGTTGGGTCAGACATCAGACATACCCGCCATACGATGTGAGATATCGTGTATCGAGGGACTACAGCCAGCACGCTTCGTCTCGCCTTACATGCCCCATACATAAATGTATTTAATACTATTCGAATTCGAATTCGTATTCGTATTCATATTCGGGGAGCTCCTTTTCTAATATGTTACGGATCCATCCACACCACACACAAGAGCGAACCAATAACTTTTTGGAGCGTCTTGAATTACCCGAGATGATTGTTTTTTTTGTTTTGTTTCGAATTTTATGATTGCCATAAAATGGCTGTCGGTTCCCATTGAAAATTGGGAGTATTCGAAATACTCATCTGATTAGTTTATTAATTTGTATAATGTGCCAGCAATGGATGGATGGGCCACCAGAGCATCGGATCCGCATCGAATTGTTAATTAATTTATGCGAAACACATTGGAACACGATTTTGGAATGGCGTTGGCCCAGCGGCATTGTTCGCCCGCATCTCGTCGCAAAGAGTGAAAAATCTCCAAGACTCCAAACAAAAACTTTACGCATGGAAAAGTGGTTGTTGGTTGTGGAGGACCGAGCACCCCTTGTTCCGAAAGAGGCGGAGTCTACCCATGCATACCCGTGTGTGTTGGTGTGTGTGCGGAAAAGAGTCGGCCATATGCTCATCGACTGCTCGCACGAACTCGTTCCGAGTGCCCGCCGCCGCCATCCAATGCTGGCATTTTCACTCAAACATCAGCCACTTGAGTGTGTTGAGTGCTGAGTGCTGAGTGCTGAGTGTTTCCCCGGGTCTGGCTGGCCTGGTCTGACATTCATTCGATTCGAGCCATTCAAAGCGTACGCTACGGGAACCGGTCGAGTCGGTCGTCGAGTTTCTCTCTCTCTCTAGAACCCGAAAATCTAATAGATATTTCTCGTGTGTTTTACTTCCCATGTGATGTGTGTTTTTGTGCCTCATGCTAATCCACTGTAAAGGCTTTTGAGTGCGAAACATCTTTATCCATCGGATCATCGGAATCCTACCTCCAATTATTCGTTTTTGTGTGTGTGTTTGTGTGAAAGTTCTTCAGAATGGTCACCCTCATGCCCTACAACTATGCAGCGCCGCGTTGCGGATTAATTGACAAAATGATCGAGCCAAAGGTAATCATCAAATAATCACACTTAAATTTCTCAGATTTTCAAGATCTATTCACAAGAGAAGAAGCTCTACAAGTGATGTGGAAAACCACTTTCAGTCTGTGGGCTGTGGGCTGTGGCTGTGCCGTCGGTTAATGTTTTGCGCTATTGCCATTTGCTGTTGCCAATGCCTATGGTTATTGTTTTTATAGCCATTGGCAGCAGCTTCCTTGGTGGTGTTATTGTGGGGCTTCTCCTAGCTGTGGGGCAGCCCGAAGAAACCAACTCTAGTTTGTTAAGGAGATGAGAGATCAGAGCTGAGACTTGAGCTGAGAGTTTGAGGTTGTTTACAAGGGGTTTTAGTAGAGGAACTAAGTAGAACTTTAGTAGAAAACTCAAGACATAAATGAAAGCAAGCTTCTACCCATTAAAATACTTATTAAAGATTAAACAAAATCTTGAGATTATTTTTAAATATGAATAACACTTCACATTCGCTTTTTTAACGACTTCTTTTCACCTTTGAATCATCCAAAATAATTATTATTCATCAAGTATTATCCCCATTAAAAAAGAAAGAAACATTTGAAAGACTCTCCCTGAATGTTGTGTAGGTGGATACCTAAATGGTTATTAAGATTATAAACATTGTGCACCTGACCACGATTGTATTGTATTGTATTATCGAAAATCATAATCGGCTTAAATTGGGGATCTTGAAGCTGTAAAGTGAGGTTCTGCTCTCTCTCTTCTTCTCTCATCTGTTAATCATCTGTTAATTACAAGCTATCGACATTTCTTATAGGTATTGGAATTTCCATTGAAAACACTTTTTTTTCCAAATGAGCATCTCAATAAGATTTAATGGAACCAAACCACATACCAGACACACTTACTACGAGTAGTCGTAGCCTTTATGGCTGCCTGAACCTGCCATAGCTCTAAGACAAAGTAAAATCTTTAAGGAAACATCACGAACATCGAACGTCGAACGTTGACTTGCATGGGGTTGGAGCAGGAGGCAGCAGTGGGTTCCACAGAAAGTACAGCTGGATGTTGAATGTTTAAGGAGAAATATTAATAGAGCATAAATTACAGCACTCGCACAGGTCTCTGTGTTCCGGGACTGGGTTTATGAGAATTTAAAGAGCCTGGCCCACAAAAGCCGGACGCTGGGCCACAGCGTCGAGCAGCGACATTAATCACATTTTAATTAAGTTTAAGCCGTAATCGTAAAAATTAACACGCCATAATTCAACTGCGACAATACGCGCTGCATGTAATTTATGACAAAGAGAATAAGTCTGTCCAAGAGCAGAGAAGAGCATGGCTTGGCATGGCTTAGGTGGGGAGCGGGACTGTTGTAGAGTCAAAATATTGATTATGGCCCCAGCGATTGACACTTGGCGATTGTTGATTATACGATGATTCGATGATTGTGGCCCCGAACGTAATTAACGTGCCAAAGTGTTAAAGGATGGTCGCACAGGTCATGCGGTTGGGGTGGGGGATAGGGCCCAACGAAGAAGAAACAAATTTTGATGCTTATCGAGCGAGCAGGCGGCCCTGAGCTGAGGATGGGGGTATCCCCGAAACGGAATCGGAGTTGAAGTCGAAGTCGAGGAGAATCAGAGTCGGGTCGGGGGCATGGGCAGGCTTAGGGCCAGGTTAATAAAAAATTTGTCGCCGTCTTCTTGTCGTCTTTTGTTTGCCTGTGCCTTATGTCTCCCAGCCCGTTCTCTCTGTCTGTCTGTCTGTCTGTCTGTCTGTCTGTCCGTCTGTTTGTGTGTTTTAATCTTCTTCTAAAGCAGCAGAAGAGACAAAGAGATTACGATCACAGGAATTTCGTTAAAGATGCTCGAAAACAGGTCTACAACGAGCACGGCTCTCCCTCTCTTTAGTTCCCTATCTCCCTCTCTCTGTCACTGTCTGTCTCTCGCACTCGCTCGCTCCCGCTGCTGCTCTCTACAGCTTTGACCAGCCCCCTTGCACTCGCACTCTCTCCCAGTGCTGATGCTCTCTGCTCTTGTCCGTGTCCGTTGACTGTGTTAATGTTTACGTTGTCAGCTTGTGCCATAAATTAGTTTAGTAAAAGGTTGCATTTGGATCTTTTCTTCATCTCCTGCAAGCAACCCACTGCACCGCTCTCCTCTCCGCACCACTTCTCTTTTTTCTACCTTCTTTTTTTGCATACGAAGGAGATTGAGCTTCGAATTCGGATTCGTATTCGTATTCGGATGCTCGTGCAACACGCAATGCTCAATGCTCGTGGTCGGTCCACCAGGCGATGCGCGGCGTTGAAACGCTACCGTTGAAGCGTTCGTCGCTGAAGCGCGTGTTGCCCGGCGACAAATTTGCACACCCCCAAGCCCCCCAATGCCCAACCAAACAGATGATGGACAGTGCGTGCGTGTGGTCATCGGTAGAAGCTGTCAACCAAGAGCAGCTCAACTTTTTGTTTTGTTTTTTTGGAGTGCTGCTGCTACACTCAGAGGGTGGGTTGTGCGAAGGACAGGAGACATTCCAGCACCTGGATGTGGGTTCGGGTCTCTGTGTCTGTCGATTTATCTGGCTTCCGTTCGATTTGCATAAATTTGTTTGCCGCTTGGACTTCCCTTCGCTGTTTTTGGCATTTGTCAAACTTACTTAGGCGCTTAATGCTTTACGCTTTTAGGGTTGGAGTGTAGAATCTTTTATTAATTTTACTCTTTCCCTTAAGTGTTTATTTTCTATGCAGTCTCCTCTTTTGCTCTTTCTTCTATCCTTATTCTCTCTCACCATTCCGCGCTTCTTATCATCTAAAGCTCCTTCTCTCTCGCGAAATATATCTTCGTGACATTTTCTTATCTGCTCGCACCACCTGCTGCGGCTGCTGCTGCCGCACTCTTTCGCTCTGTTGTGTGTGTGTCCCCTTTAATGGCGCCGTGCATCCGACAAATTCTGAGTAGTACATTTTGAGCCCAAATAAAACTTTTTCCCACGCAAGTTGCGTTCGAAATTCGCTGTCGCGGCAGTCAGTGGCGATGGAAAATTATGTAAAATTTGCTGTTTTTTTTGGGTGGAAAGACAGTCAGTCAGTCCATAACCCAAATAAAGTTTCGTTTGTGGGAAGTGCAGGTGTCAGCATTTGCGAGGGGAGACAGCAGACGCAGACCGCCGATCAGTGTCTGAGGTGGAGAGTTGTTTATAAACAAATTCTTCCCCTTTATATAATGCTATTCTTTTATTCTGTCTGGTATGTTTTCTTAACTAAATTTGTGTATTTTTGTTCCATTTGATTTGCAGGTTAAACGTCCCAAGACAGAGCACACGGATACACATGAACGCAATCGGTAGGTACACACCCACAAGTCCGAGTATTTCCCAGTCGTATCCCATTCGAGGACCTCGCAGCTGTAAGCGTAGACAATTTGTAACAGAAAGGAAAGGAAATGCGTCTGACACTTGGTCAGGGTCAGGGACAGGGATATTCAATTGGTTTCAATTGAAATGAAGCGACAAGAGGGACATGGGCAGGGGCACAAGTATTTTGCATGTGGCCCTCACAACCTGACACATGCCTCGTTTTGAACGGTTAAAAGAATTCAGTGCACGCTTCAGATGTGACAAAGCCAAAGACAAAGAAGATGAGCGGAAAAAGTGTCAGAGCACTTAACACTTGCCAAGGGGCAGAGCAAAGATTTCAACTACTTAAATGGGCTTCAGGGCGGCAGCAGTTGCGGCTTAGTCTTAAAGACTTCAGCTCCCCCTCTGCCTTTCCTCCACTCTCTCTTTAATTATGTTCATTATAATTTGTGTAAATCTCCCATTGGCTACCACAAAACACCATCAACGGGTGGGCGTAGATACACTCAAAATGTGGAATCACTCAAACCCCCCAAAAATAAGCAGCGCACGCGTCGTTTTTCACAGGGAAAATATGCTTTCCCTTCCCTTCCCAGCTTCCCAGCGCCTGCTCCCCTTTTGTGTGCTCGCAAGATAAATGTCTCCCTTTCCCTTCACCCAGGCCCAAGGAAAATCATCTCGAGGTGTCAGATTCCGCTGGAAATTGGGCACTTAATTTACCTTCCTATTAAAATTATGAAAAATTGTTACAAATTTTCTTGAAGGCAGAAAGATGGGAGCACAGGGAAAGAAAAGGGGAGAACACAAGGGGAAAGAATCGTTGCAGAAGATTTAATTCTATAAAAAGGGGTTCCAAATTATCTCATTATTATGATTATTTTGCTCTGTTTGCTCTGAAGACTGTGCTGAATATTGGGGGGAATTTAGTTGTTTTGGATTCAAATAGAAGATTTAATTTGAAGAAATTAAGTGTAATATTTTCATGCAAAAGTAAGACATTAAGAGCTAGAATATAACATCAACGTATGCAAGACGAGTGTTAGGAATTTATATACGAAACTGCGATAGAGATTCACTTGCCAATGACAAGAAGAGGTCACAGACAGACACAAAGAATAGGCGCACATTCTTCCCACATCGCTGGGGCTGGGATTGAAGCTGTGGCGGGGTTGCCCAACTGATTGTTGTCTAACGGTATTTTTGTGTGGTATGCGGGTGGGGATGGCAACTCCATTAAATTTAGCTGACGAAAAGGATTGTATTACCAGAAATACTCCCCCATTTATCTATGCGCTCCCTCCTTTTCCACTTACTTTATTTTTGTGTCTGAGCATTTTTCATTGTTTTGATTTTTTTCGTTGATTTATTCTTCAGTTTTGGGTTTTATTTGATTTTTATTGGGGCTGGCGGCCCTTTGGGTTTGTTCAATTGGTGCACTTTTCGTTTTAGCGGCAATTGTTTCTACTTAAATATTAATAATAATAGCAACGAGGGTAGAAAAACACAAAAGAGCACAAGCACACAAATCGTAAAAAATAAAAAAATATTTGTCGCCGTTCTTTTTGGGCATTTTTGACATTTGCTGCACACATGTCCCCGCGACGAGCAAGGGGCGGGGGCACAGTTAAACGGGACTTGTTCGGGGATTGTCCGCACATGCCAGGGGCAGGGCAAGGGCAGCCAGAACGAGCCTCTCAAGTGGCCCGCAAAGGCAGCCCGAAAAGCGATTTCCTTTGCCCAACTCTCCTCAGCCCAAAATCCAAAATCCAAATGCAAGTAAACAACGCAGAAAGAAAAAAAAACCAGCGAGAGATCGTAGAAAAATATTTATAACACTTGACAAGATTTTTAAAGAGCCCTTTAGTCTGGGTCTGGGACTGGGACTGGGACGGAGTCTGAATCTGGCTCTGGCTCTGGGACACACTTGACTTCGGTTATGGTGCAGGCCGAACAACGTGCCGTTAATTTTATGGTTGTTTAAAGATTATTGGAAAACATTTTACGAGTTTCCTTAACGAGCGCAAAGGTTCGTTGCTGCTTCGGTTTCTCTCACTCTCACTTCGTTCCTGTCCATGTGCATTTATTTGATGGATTCCACTTGGGGATATGCAGCATTCGAGTGTGTATGGGGTTGGTGTTGCATGTTTTGATGAGGTTTTGTGTGTCTATAGAGGATATCAAACACCGTTAGCCCATTCCTTACTCATCATTTGTGTTCCTTGTATCCATTACAGCCTCTGCAATCTCTCCCAGCAGCAGCAACAGCCACACACCCAGCAGCAACAGCAGCAGCAGCAGCAGCAGCAGCAACAGAGCCAACAACAGCAGACACATCCCGGCACCGTGTTGGCCAGCAATGGACCAAGTAGCGCCGGGGCCACCATGGGCGTCGGTGTGGGCGTTGGAGTCGGCGTTGGCGTGGGCGTGGTTGGACAGTGCAGTCCACTGGGACTGCCGCCACAGAGTCAGCCGCTGCAGCCGACAATAAGCTCATTGGCCTCGTTGAGCGGCCACTATGCGGGCAGTAATCCGCACGTGAACGGCAACCCAAATCCGAATCCGAGCAGCTGCAGCCTGGCGGCTGCCTCCAGCTTCGCACAGTCGGCCAGCAGCAGCTTCTCCACATATCAACAGGCCGGCGGCAGTGCGGTCGATGATGGAGTCAGCGGTGGATCTGTGATGTCGCACTGGACGCACGATGGCAGTGGATCGGGTGCCGCTGTCAAGTCGGAGTCCCGCAGTCCCGGCCAGCAGGTGCATGCGGCGCTGGACAACGGCGTGGTGACGTCGGTCAGCAGTGGACCCAATCTGTATGGCTGCAGTGCCGCCAATCCGCTGGACAGCAGCACGGCGGCGGCTGTCAACTCCTCGGCCGTGGCCGCCGCTGCTGCGGCCGTGTACGATGGGAAGCACGATTATTACTACTACAACAGCATGCAGCAGTATACGCCGCCGCCGTTCTACTCCGGCTACGGAGCACCCTATGCGGCGGCCACGGCTGCCCGGCAGGCCAAGATGGAGCCGGGAGCAGCGGCTGCGGCGGCTGCCTATCTGACGCCCACCTATGCCAGCGGCGGCAACAACAACTCGCAGCTGTACAGCAATCCCTACGCGGGCTACAACAACTTTGCGCAGCAGGACTACGGCGGCTACTACAACGAGCAGTACGGCAACTACTACAATCCGGCCAACTACTCGCCGTATGCCGTCAGCTCGCCCAGCTCGAGTGCCAGCCACGGGCACGGTTTCCATGTGGCTGCCAGCTCCAATCTCTCTGAGAGCCCCACGGACACGCACTCGACGACGCCCGTGCACCATGCCACCCACTCGCCGCACTCCCCGCTGCCGATCTCACCCAATGCCGCAACGGGCCTGGCCAGCAGCGGCCCGGCCAGCTCTGCTGCGGCTGTGGCAGCTGCCGCGGCAGCTCTCAATTCCAGCGGGGGCAGCAGCGTGGGAACGGCGGGCTCCTCAAATGCATCGGGCACCAAGACAACGCCCACGGGCAAGACGGGACGAGCACGCGGCAGGCGCCACCAGCAGCCCAGTCCCACGCGCAGCACAGCCTCGGATACGGGCAACAGCGAGGCGGTGAAGCAGCCGGAGCGTGTGTTCGTCTGGGACCTGGACGAGACGCTGATCATCTTCCACACGCTGCTCTCAGGCAGCTACGCGAATCGCTATACCAAAGACCACAGCACCCTGATGACCATCGCCTTCCGCATGGAGGAAATGGTCTTCAACATGGCCGACACGCACTTTTTCTTCAACGAGATCGAGGAGTGTGACCAGGTGCACATCGACGATGTCAGTTCGGACGATAACGGCCAAGACCTGAGCGCCTACAACTTTGCCACCGATGGCTTCCACACGGGCACACCACCCGGCGCGCCACCCAATCTCTGCCTGCCCACGGGAGTGCGCGGCGGCGTGGACTGGATGCGCAAGCTGGCATTTCGCTATCGCAAGATTAAGGACATCTACAACAGCTACAGGGGAAAGTGAGTAATTAGAGCATATTCCTGTAGCACTTTTCACTAACTTTTCTTTTTCCTTGTTCCAGCGTTGGCACACTGCTGGGTCCCGGCAAGCGTGAGGCCTGGCTGCAGATACGCTCGGAGATTGAGGTGGCCACCGATAACTGGGCGACACTGGCGCTCAAGTGCCTCAGCATGATTTCACAGCGAGAGAACTGCGTCAATGTGCTGGTCACCTCCACGCAGCTGGCACCAGCGCTGGCCAAGGTGCTGCTCTTCGGACTGGGCAGCATCTTCAACATCGAAAACATTTACAGTGCGCACAAAATTGGTGAGTGGAGAGCAGAGAGATGCATTCCAAATCGGTGCTAACCAGTCGTCTTTTTTCTGTAGGCCAGGAAACCTGCTATGAGCGTATCGTGACACGCTTTGGGCGCAAGAGCACCTACGTGGTGATTGGCGATGGCGCCGAAGAGGAGTCCGCCGCCAAGGCCATGAACTTCCCCTTCTGGCGTATCTCGGCACACAGCGACATACGCGCCCTATACACAGCCCTCGACATGGGCTTCTTATGAAAGGCCAAACTGTGAATCGGAAGTAGAAGTGCAAACAGAATTTGGGAGGGACGCTCGAAGCAGTTTTGAGTACAAACGGCAAAATGTTTAACTAATTTATTGAATGTGTGTGTATGAGATATGGAAACTGTAAACTGTAAACCAGCGCAAAATAATTTAATTATTTTGTTTAATCAATTTATAATTTTAATGCCAAGACTTTATTGTATTATATAGTTTTAAATCCAATCCTAATCCAACTTTTTGCAGCCAGCAAGCAGCCGCACGAAAATTGTTTCAATTGTATAATTAATGAATTAATTAAACTAACGATATACGTATTTAGCACCTTAGAGTAGCAATCAATACCAGATAGCAGACCGAAGCGGATCGAAAGAATGGGGCGTGAAGTAGCCCCACAGATCGATCGGAGCAAACACAACAAAAATTAGTTTAAAGTCTTTAGTTTAAAGCGCCTGCAGGGTCAGAGTAAACATAATTATAAATAAATAATTCGACAAAGTGTAGTATTCAAATTTTAAATAACTATTATATAGCTGCATATATTAAACTATATTTAAAATATATTTAAAAAAAAACATTAATAAAAGAGCAAAACCAACTACTACAAGCGTACTCTTCCTTCACAAATATACTTATGTATATATCACTAAAATATCAAAATCGGACAGTAAATGATGGAACTAAAGAGATTTAAGAAAAGCTAAAACTAGTAACACGCAGTTTGTACATTTGAGCTTTGCGCCTACGCGTCTCTTAGCTGACAAAATCTCACAACTAAGTAGCTTAGTTTAGTAGCAGCCAGCTTTTGACACAATGAAAAAAGAACACAAAAACCTGCGAACCGTCTGCTGCAAAATGTACCGAATCATATCCGATTTATGTTGAATCATCCGACTTATGTCTGATTCATGTTAATTTATATCCGAATAAGATCAAGTCAAGTAAAGCACGCAGTTAAGCGACAGAAGTCGGATATAAAATGTAGGCAAAAACCCTACTTTTCTTTTCGTCGACAGACACTTGGAGGCGCCACTTGTGCCATGTAAAATTACACATGGCGCCGCTGTCCATTCTGATGTTTGATCTGGAAAGTATGCCTTGGTATTTTATTAATCTGACTAATAATTCAGCCTTATCCGAAGATCCAGGAAGTGCCACACTTCCCTGTGTTGGCGATAATTTCCCCGATCCACGAAATGAAGGCCCAGTTAGGATGATAATTCCCGAGACCCTGATTGTTTTCGACTAGATCTGTAAGCAGATTAACTTTTTTCCAGCACTAATCTTTAAAATTATGATTCACAAAATACCGACAGCGCTTTAATTTTAATTTCATTGATTATTCACTTGGTAATTTGCTTAATAAGTGTAATTTATGCAAATATTGCTGGATTCTTTATCGTTTATCAAACTATCCAATTACTCACAATTTTGTTTGTTTCCAATTTGATCGTACATAGTATTACTGGGTCTTCGTTTTTGAAAAGAAAAACGAATCGAACTTAGTGGTAGACAATAAGGACAAGTAAAGTATAGTACAATTTTAATTACAATTACAACTAAATAACCATAAAAATAATGTATGTTTGTATGCCTAGGGAAACTTATGCTTAGGAGTCGAGTGCCCATTGCTCATTTATCGAATTTCATTTGATCAACTTTCGTTTTCTAGTTTAGGAAATTCGTGTCTAAATTAGCGTGATTTACGTTTTGATTATAATATTGCACAATATTTGTGTGTTTGCCAAACATTTTGTTGTATAATTGCTCACTACTCTCCAGAACAGAACTGAGCTGAACTGCACGTTGGTGTTTTTCTTTTAGTTAGTTACCGACCGATGCTGATACGTTTAGATACGTTTGTGTTAGACGCTAGATCACTGGATTTTCTATGCACTTGTCAAGCTGAATTACAAAAGTTTCATTTCATTGCCTAAATAATTTACATCAAAAAGCCAAGTAAACAATACTAATACTAAGTTCTCCTTTCTCAGTTATTGGGTTTGCTTAAATGCTAGGCCTAAACTAAATGATATTCGACTGGTTTTCATACCGTTTTACGCTGTACTCTTGACGCTGTTACGCTCTACACAAAATTCGCCAATTACTAAAATTATGCATTTCATATTGTATATATTCAGTATAATATTATTAATAACTATTGCTCAGTTAAGTGTGTTTGCGTGTTTAGCAAAAATGTGCCAGCTATGAATCCGAGTTTCCACAATGCATTCTCATCTCTTTCAATCTCGGCTCACTGTTCCTCACTGCTTTTTCTTTGCCCTTCCTTCCGTTCTTTGCCTATTTCTCTTTTGCTCGCTCAACACGACGATATCACAACAAAATGTACCAAGTAGAAGAATTAGTTATCATTATCAGTTATCGTTATAGATAGATCAGCTAACACTAATGCCGCTTCACGTAAACGGCGGCGGCAGCACCATTGGATCGAAACTCAACTGAAGGCTGGAGAAGTTGCTGAAGTTGTCGATGCGACGATAGCCCCACAGATCCATGGCCTCGATGCAAACATCCTGGATTTGCTTGATCTGTAAGACAGATGTATGAATAATGCAGCCCAAAAGTATATCCTTGATGTACTCACCTCATCTGGCTTTAGATCCTGCATCCAATGGAATGGCGCTGATCTGGAATCACGATACGTGGAGCTAACGCCGCCAATATTCACCTTGGTGTGCGTCTCCAAAAACTCCTCCACAGCGGGATCGAATGGCAGGCCATAGAACTGAAGTATGTCCTGGGTCATTTCACTGGGATTCAATGACAGATCCTCATAGCGTAAGGTTCTACCGAAACAAAAATATCTGGCATTAGTTTTTTGTGGAAAGTAAATAGTTGGGCGGCTTACCTGAAACGCGATGGATACTTCTCCAGCAGCATCTCGGCTGTTTTGTAGTCATCCTGCAGATCCTGGCACACCAGTCGCGGATCCTCGCAGTCCTCGTGACCACCGCACCACACACGATGCCGACGCGATTGCATCGTTCCACGCGGATCCCTCACCAGTAGAACAATCCGCACATTGGACAGACTGTTGGAGAGAAAGAGAGCAACGATAGAATCAGTAATCATATAGCATACAAATATCTGTTTGACGAGTGATATATAATTGCTGCCGTGGCTGGCGTAATAGTTGTGCACGAAGCCGTGAAGTTCACTTTGCCATAACAATAGTTGGAGGCAGACTTGGAGTTGGAGTCGGTAGTCGGTCTTGAAATTGGCTTTCAATTAAATCGAATTAAAACTTCTATAATGGCCGCATAATTAGCATTTTAATGAAGCCCAGCACGAGTCTCGTTCCAGATGGGCTTTAAGCTAAATGTAATCTATCTTCCTATTCCACCAACTCGAAACTGTTTTTAATTACAACACTCAAAGCGATGCTCCACTCCATCCTCGCCAGCAACTGCCACCAAGCAAATGCATTTGCTGAATTATTTCATGAAAATGTTTTGCCTAAGCGGATACTACGAAATGCTGATAAAATGGCAAACAGCGGAAACAGCAACAGCACGGGAACGTGGCGGCTCGAGGGTTGTTGATTGCGGTTGTTGGAACTGGAGCTGGATCATTAGTTCAGGGTCGGTAATGGGTTTGTACTGCGGACCAGAGGGCCGGCTGTAGCGCTGCCAAACCAATAATCAATTACAGTGGGGCCTAAAAATAAAGATACAGTTCTAGATACCACATGCAGTTATCTCTACCGCAACGAACAATTAATTGCAATTATTAAACTGATTTATATGGACAGTTTTCATTAAATTCCCTGAAATTCCCATTTCTTATCACACCTGCAAAAATACCGAAAGTCTGTACCAAAAACTTTGTACCGAAAACATTGTACCAAAATCTTTGTACCAAATAGGCAAAACAGAATCAAATCTTATATTTTGTTTAAATTTGGCAAATTTCGTATCTACTTCGAGTATCTATAAATTCCCACTTTTAAAATTTCATTAGCAGTTGTCTGTGGGCGCCATCAAGGCACTCCCCAAAAATCAACAAGCGTATTGCATGCATATATTCAAATCATGAACTCCCCCGTTATCCGCAGCAGGGAAGAGCATCATCATCATCATCATCATCATCAGAGGCGGCAGCCGTAGGGCAAGAAAACACTTTTCCCTTCCTTCAACCCAGAGGTTAGGTTTTCCTCTGCACCCACTTAACCACAATGCTAATGAGTTTGTGGCGGATTGGAAACAATGTAAACATCTATATAACATACACATATGTACAAATATCTAGCAGCTCTATGTTCCAATGCATATAACATGTAGTCACATCTACAGCTTACATAGTATACGAAATATATCCGCATCCGCAATGAGCACCCGAATGTGATAAATGGAAACGAGCATTCCACAGAGTTCATTCTCAAGCGAGGGAAATGTGTAAAATGAAAACGAGCGAAAACATTCGACTAAAGTTTTGCAGTGGGTTGTCGTTAAGCTGGCAAAAATAGTGTATATAAAACTGAAATATCGGAACAATAGTAGATGAAACCTTGCGTTACCCAGAACTTAAAAAAAAGATTGGCAGCTGCTGTTGCTGTTGCTTCTACTGTAGCGTGTACTTTGAAGGAAGGGCTCTGCGGCTGTGGCTGTGGCTGGGCTAGGCAAAAATAATAACCGTAACACTAACAAATAACAGAGGGCTTTACTGCCACTGCCAGTGCCATAGTCAATGGCTTACTGGCAAAAGCAACAGCTGCAGAAATACCGAATACCAAAAAGTTTGCAGCAAAAGCAGCAAACAGAACAAAAAGCAAAAATCTACACCAAAAAGGAACTCAAAAGCCAACAAAATGCAGCGAAATTGAACGAGAATTAAATTACAGTTATAGCAAACCACACAAAAATGTAGTACAAAAATGAATGTTTTATTCTTTAATTTAAGTAAAGAACTTTCTACTCTTTGAATACAAAAACTAACAAATTAAAGTCTGAAAATGTAACAAATAGATAATTAATTATGCTATAAATAAACATTCAATTTAAAATACGAGCAAACGGACATGTATTCATTTTTGATTATTTTCCACCAATCAAACGAGTATATGACACATGCAATAGGCAGAGGCTTCGACCAAATATACGAATGTAAATTTTTTGTACATATATCTAATTCGAAATATATGCTAATTAAATATTTTGAACAAACAGCGTAGGAAACATCAATTGAACACGAACTGACATTTGCCATTACATCATGCACAAATTAAGTCGAAAAATGAATTTCTTTATAATTGCATTTGAAGTTGAATAATTTACGACAAAGTGCACTTGACGATGGACCAAATGGAATAAGAGAAATAATAATAAAAAGAGCCATAAAACTCCGGCACAAGGCTAGGCCATGAATTTCACTTTCGATTTGGCCAAGTAACTGGAGATGGTTTCTTTTCATTTTGTATTTGGTAATTATGCGAATATAAAAGAGAGACACTTGTGGGGGGCTATAAATATGCACAAAAAGTTATGCCACGATGAAGAGTTCTTCAAGTGTACTGTTGGATATCAAGTGGATTTCTTGCTATTGGATTTTGGACAGAGAGTTGCTCTATATAATAGTTGTTGCGGGGAACAGAGTGACTTCAAAGTAGGCACAATAAATATAGATACAGAAATGCTACTCTTAAATATATTTTACCCAATTTTCAGGCAGCTTTTAATTGTTATTTATGTGATTCTGCCTGGTGGCACTTAATGAATGCAATTATTTTACTTTATTTGTTGCCAATGATTTTCAATGAGCCTCTTTAACACTTGCTGGCCATAATTCAAGAGTGCTTTTAATTTAACTTTAATGGCTAATGGCTGAAATGTGCGCAAATATATCAAGAGCTTGTTGAATGCATTTAACCCTGAACAAATATTTATGGTATGAAATAACGAAACTCTCATGGGATGCGGAGAGTGAGAGAATCTGTCAAGAGATAAGTACTACCAAAATAGTTCTGCAGAGCAAAAACACTTTGACCCATTGACAGAGGCTTTTGGCAGCACACAAAAAAAAGCACAAAGAAATGTAGTCGTATGTCTGCCATATATTTATGTACATACATATGTACAGTGTATCTCTGAGTAATTTTCGTTTGTTTTTATTTTTATTCCATTCCGTACTGCGGCAGTTTTGCGGCATTCTGACACAGTTTCTCAGAGACCAAAAGGAGAAAATTTGCACAAAAAAGACATACGTACAAATTATTATAGAGAAGCCCCCCCAATCAATGGGATAAACATAGAAATGGGTTTCGTATGGCTATAGGTGGCCTACATGATGGATAGATACGTTTACAGCTAGTCGCTAGACGGCGACGGCATTACGGCTGCTCTTTTGTCGAACTTTTGTCGACTATTTCGGGGTCAAGCCAAATGCGAGAGCAGAGGCGAACCTCAGAGACGATTAATCAATATAATGGGTACGGTCTGGTCCGGTCGCCCTCTCTTGTACTCTCTCTCTCGCTCTTTCTCTGTCGGGGCCCGGCCATAACCGATTCGACTGACCCCCAAGCCAATACGTATTTACATAACCCCAGCCAAATACAAAGACAAAGAAAAAGTAAAAGTTCGCTCACGTGTGCGCCTTGGAGGCCTTGAACCGACCGGCTTTGTGGACGCAGATGAACTTCTTGGAACTGGAATCATTAGTCAATCCGCAGTTCAGATTTCCACCACAAAAGTGTTCCCCAATGGCCAGCGGGAACTGCTGTGACCCATTAAGCGATTTAACCGAGTCTCTTTCATAAACTTTTCTGTCTGTCTGTCTGTCTTTCACAGTTTTTGGCCTGACCAAGTGCCATTCCCATTCCCATTCCCATTTGCCTTCCGATTCTAGTGGTTTGCTGGCTTAGTGGTTGGATGGGAACTGTTGGGGCTGTCATGCGTGTGCAGATGTCTCCTCAATCTCCCATATTCACACTAAGTACGGGGTAATTATTTTTAGGGGTCTCCGCGAGGCTTAGGCTCGGACATAAGCCGATAATGTTGATTAATGGCGCCACGGAAAAGCCAACTGCTGTGTGGAGAGTGCAAAGAAAACATTCGAAATGGCTTTCCACACACAGTTCCTAGGGTGAAGACTTTCTCTCATTCTGCAATCATATTTATTTTTCTCAGCTTTCCCTGTGGAAAACTATTCTTAATTAATTTCAATAGACTGCCGCTTTCAGCTGCATAAATTTTACTCATTTTTTTCTTTATCAATTAGGCAATATTTTCACAGCATTTCCACAAGGGGAGCTCCACGCATATTTTGTATAAAGCAAAAAATTATATATTTAGAATTTTTTGTATGGCATTTTTTAGCATTTCCACTCGCGAAGGCGGGGGTAGGAAAAATCTACTTTGAAAACTGCTGGAAAAAATGTAACGCATACGCTCCATTGACCAAGGCATATTATGTGTTAATGTGTGTGTGTGTGTGTGCATACACATACATATGTACGTACTACGCATATATTTATTTATATAAATATGCATAATTGTCGCGTGCGGGTTAAAAAAATGCTCTACAAAGAGAGCGGGAAAAGTACGGGCAAACGAGGCAGAACAAAGAGCGCCAATAAAAGACAATGAAAATTTCTGCGTCGAAAAAATGTTTAAAATAACACACAAAAAAATAAGGAACCCAAAGAGAGGGAAAGAAGAAGCAAAGAGTAAGAGAGAGAGAGAGAGAGGGGCAGAAAAACCATGGAAACCAAGGCAATTTATTCCACTGCAAGGGCCGGGAATTAAAATTGCCAAAATATTAAATTAAATATTCAGCACAGCCTCGGCAATTACCTAGAAATATATGCAAGTGGAAAAGGATAAGGACAGGAAAGGAAAGAGGTAGAAAAATTGAGAGTTCGGACCATAAATGAATGAATATTGTAAGGCGGAAATATAATTGTAGGAAAATATTCTTATAAATATGATGCACAGAGAAGATTAAGCACAGCAATACAATTTCAAAATATTTTAAAAATAAATAATAACTCGTTCTGATAATTGTTATCACAAATTGAAAGATTTCACGTCAAAATAT